CAAAGAAATTAAAAACAATATACAAATGTTGTAGCAATACTCACATCAACTGATCCCATTTAAGCACAGAAATAATTACTGATTGTAACTCCACGATACCTCATGGTCACGCTTCAGATGAATTGTAGGTCCTCTCATATAAATATTTTTACAACGACGTTAATCCGACCATTCACTTTGTTACCAAAAGTTTACTTCTATTAAGAACCGAATCTTATTCAAATTTTCCAAATGAGTGGACATAACTGTTTAATAAATGCGACCCTTTTCTTATTGCCTGTATCTTGTAAAGTAATTAATAAAGACACGTCACCGAGCTGCCCACTTTGGGAGGTGGGATGTAAATGTAGAGATGTGATGTGAATGAGATGTGAATGCAATGTGATGTGAGTATAATGTGAATGTAATGTGATGTGGTGTGATGTGAATGAGATGTGAACGTAATGTGATGTGAATATAATGTGAATGTAATGTGATGTGGTGTGATGTGAATGAGATGTAATATGAAGCTGAATGTGAATGTAATGTGATTTGATTTGATGTGAATGTGATGTGAACGTAAGGTAATGTGAATATGATGTAAACGTAATATGATGTGAATGAGATGTGAATGTGACGTGTGAGATGTGATGTGAATTTAATGTGATGGGATTTTATGTGAATGTAATGTGAACGTAATGTGATGTAAATATGACGTATATGTAATGTGATGTCATGTAAATGTGATGTGAATGAGATATGATGTAATGTGAATGTGATGTAATGTGAATGCGATGTAATGTGAATGTGATGGGAGGTGAATGTAACATGATGTGATTTGATGTGAAAGTGATATGATGTGAACGTAATGTTATGTGAATATGATGTAAATGTGAATGTGGTGTGATGTGATGTAATGTGAAGTGCATGTAACGTGATATGATTTGATGTGAATGTGATGTGATGAAACGTAATGTGACCTGAATATGATGTAAACGTGAATGTTAAAGTGAATGTGATGTGAACGTAATGTGATGCGAATGTGAATGTGAAAGTGAATATGATGTGATGTGAACGTAAAGTGATATAATATGATGTGGATGTAAAAGGAATGTGACGTGAATGTAAAAGTGAATATGATGTGATTTGGCTAGACATGATGTGATGCGAATGCGTTGTGATGTGGTATAATGTAGTATGATGCAAGTAACGCACCGATGACTCAGTGAGCGAAGGGACAAGCAAGGCTGTTTGGTGGACACTTAACATCTCAGGCATCAAAAAAGCAACGGAACAACAGCCAAGGCAACAAGGTTGTGGCTGAAGTTAATCTTAGGGAAAAAATGAACATCTGCCTCTAAGCCCGATTCCGTTGCTTTCCTGTACAATCGAATCTGTTCAATCCTACAAATGTATCTCCATATGTTCCAAAATAGAGTCGAGTTTCATGTATCTAAACCGTAGTTATGCTACTCCTTCAGATATCAGGTTTTAAACAAAATAAATATGAGCTCATATCGCTAACTAAGCCACCTGTGATCGAACGAAGAAAAATGATATTCATGAAGAATTGCACCTGATGGTGAGGACGAATTTGAATCAGGGAATGCATATAAGTGTTAAACTGTTTGTGTATGATTAACAATACCTTCGCTTCTGATTCATTGAAACTGTACGCATCAGTCTGGTCGGCATTCACTTTGTTTAACTGGTCTTTGCTAACAGTTAAAGTAAACGCGTCTCCGTCATGTTCATACCGATATGTCTTTCGAAGGCAGCGGCGCTGAAAAGACAGGTCAAACCCATCTGGTAGCTCGGAAATTGGTGGAAACTTCAGCTGACCATCATCAATCCTCATCTTCATGAGGTAGTGTTCTAAAAGTTTGCGCTCTTTTTCTGCTTGTGGTTTTGTTTGTGGAAACTTTGGAACTAAAAGAGGAAAGAAGTGAGGTCAGACTATGTCCTTTTTTGTTCTGCATAGTAACATACATGCAATTTTTTCATTCGAGTCTCAAACCTTAAATTATCGTCATTTCAGTTTCATTATATGTGATGGGTGGACCAACCACTTGAAGTTAATTATATTCAGATTTTAGGCCCTGCCCTTTCACCGACCAGGCTTAAGGTGACCATCAAACTTAGTCTGGCGTGCTAATAACCTATTTAGCCTGAAATTTTTCTGTTCTTGAATGGGAAGGAAATGCCACGAAGTTGTAAGCAACTATATTATCATAAATGTCCCACAGTCATATCTAGAGAAGTAAATAACACGCAGAATCATATGATACAGAATCATAATATTTCTTTTATCTTAAGTTTGAGAGAAACGTTTCCTTACATGTTCGTATTTTCAAACGGCAATCAAATCCTGCAGACGGCGATAGAATGTCGATTGTCATTTGCTGATTAAATGTATCGCTGATGTAGAAAATTGGTGCGTTCGATGCATCTCCACTATGGTCGTCATGCAAGATTTCTGTCGAGGTGTTTCTGACAGAAAGTTGAGGGCTGCGACGGAACGCCAGGAAGACGCTGAAGCGCCTTCGACCCCAGGTTCTTTTTCGATGAGCCATACCTGATAACGGAGGGATAATGATAACAAATAAAGAGAGAAAATTTGGTCGGGCCCTGGCTAATTTACACCGTCTGTAAGTGAAATCTTGGTGAACTGGTTTAGCAACACTTTTATATTCTTTAACTGGCCAGACGCGAAACAAAATGTCAGAAGGCTCTCTTCTGCTAGACGTGTAATCATGCTTGTCTGTTATTGCAGTGTTACGAACCCTACACAGCCTCTTTTTCGATAGCTCAGAGTTCATCAGCAAAAAAATTACTTGAAACTGCTCAAGGTATAAGGATCACAAATCAAGACAATATCCCTTAATTCGTCGTGTTATCTCCCTGTACACTATTTGATACAATATGCATAATAGAACACCATGGTGCTCACAGAGCTACCTTAAAATCAATCGACACCATAGGTTTGATAAAAAGTATAGAAGGCCAGATCGTTAAGAACATTTTGGTAGAGTAGAAACACGCCTTCAGGAGCTTTAATAGAGTTAATAAAAAGCTGTTGAACGCTATGTGAACTGTGGGGGTTGTAAAATTTCCTTTTATCTGAGCTAACATGGCTTAATGTTTGGGTTAGGATGGTTAGGACGGAGATCTAGCATTTTTCTCGATCGAACGTTTTAATTGGTTAATTTAAAGTACATGAAATGGCAGTAAAACACAATTAGAAAGGTGATGGCGTCATAGCCCTACTTAACGATGCTTAACGGATTAACGAACAAAGGTGGAGACGTGAATCAGCTTGGGTTCGACATCTGTCTACCTTTAGCTTGACATAGATGTCTTTTTCGGGTTGAGTGTGCTTGCTTAGTGACCTTAGTCTAGAGGCAACGGTAGCCCCAACCCGGCAGGAAAAATGATTCGGCACATGTTTGGGTTAGGATGATGAGGATGGAAATCTAGCATTTTTCTCCATCGAACGTTTTAATTGGTTAATTTAAAGTGAACGAAATGGTAGTAAACACAATTAGAAAGGTGATGGCATCTTAGGCCTAGTTAACGATGCTTAAGGATTAACGAACAAAGGTGGAGACGTGAATCAGCTTGGGTTCGACATCTGCCTACCTTTAGCTTGACATAGATGCATTTTTCGGGTTGAATGTCCTTGCTTATTGACCATAGTCTAGAGGCGACGGTAGCCCCAACCCGGCAGAAAAAATAATTTGGTACATGGTTAAATTACCTTGACTAGAAATTCTAAACCAGATGGCGTTAAGAAGGTGAGGTCGTATCGTAGGTCATCACTAGCTGTGCATGCATAAGCTTTGAGAGACTTTTCAGTCTGCTCAACTTCGATTGTCTCAACTTTCCGGAATATTGTCTCCCAACGATCGTCATCCTTTGATTCAATTCTCGCTTTGACCTCCTTCGGGGTGAAGATGTCATCCTCTTCATCTACCGAAAGAAGTATGAAAAAATCTCTGATTGATACCTCACCAATTCGCCGAAAGACTCATAAAATCTACAGGACTGACCTTCATCAACCTTGATTAGGTAGGCGTGACCAAAATAACACGAAATAACTACCATGACCATCTCCTCCTCCTTCTTTTTGTGAATTTGCTTCAAAAACCGCAGGACCTCTTCTTCTAGGATTTCCGTGCCCACAAAACCAGAGGGTTTCCTTTGAAATAATACATTCATTAGTTGAAGTAGCCGGCAAGATATAAAACACACCTTTCATAGTGAGACGTTCACAAGAACCATCACGCACAGTTTCGTGGATAAGAAAAGTCTAAGAGATAAATAGACCTGGTGTTTGCAGTTCTTAAATTCTCTTCAATGCTTGATGATTTCTCGACATGATTTCATCACATCGTTGGTATAAAAACCTGAATGTAGCTCTAATGTAAGACGACGAAGCAACTGCAGTTCTGTACTTTTATGCTGAATCTCTTGTAGTGCCGCCTTTTACTCCCAAAACACTCGCCCATGGGCGGCTAAGCAAGTTAAAGACGAAGCCTGCTGGCTAAACTAGTTTTTTGGCCGACGGAATGGGTTGATGTGTAACTTTTGCTTGCAATATCATTAACACTCCTAGATTACCATCTAGCAAATATCGTCTTGTTGTACCAAGAGATTTTCAAAAGGGACATTAAAGAGAATCTATGGTAGTTAGAAAGGATAGTTAGTAATCGAGTCTTGCGAGCGAAGGGACCAGCACAACTGGTTCTGTTTCCGTGAGTGTCTCAACGAACTATTCTTTTCAAGTTGAAACGGTGGTCGAAGCCCTCTTCCAGTACTCCCAGGAGGGTTCCGATAAAAAAATAGGGTTGAATAATTAAAGAAAAATAAAATTATTAGCTTTCACAGCATTTTTGTTAGGTATTTCCTTCAAGACAGATTTGAATTCAACGACATACCCCTTTTAAAGGATCGTCCTGTAGTTTTAATTTGAAACACTTGTCTCTGGATAGTGGCGGTTGTGCGATGGATATAGCTTAAACTCATGGTCTTCTTCCAAATGTGCAGTGTCCATGGACAACTTTTGCAACGTATTTTTCCTTGCCTCCATTCTTCATAGGGGAGAAAAATGATAATCGCATACTTAACATGGTAAGTAACGTTCCCTTTGAATTCAATAGGCATTTGGTGTAATTGTTCCGGTTATTAGAGAGATGCACGCGCTCTGATGGGTCGAGGATTGCGTCTTACCTAACTATAATCACCTCGCGCGAGGAAGCGCGAGGTAATTGTGGCAGGAGTGCTAAATTTCAAAGTGGTTGCCTCGCCTTTTGTCAATGTTTGCGAGGAAGTGATGAGCACGATAGAAGAAAATTCAACCGCGAAAAGCAAAAGAAGGATATTAAGTTTTTGTTGATTTAATTAAATAGACCTGCCAAAGCTCCTTGCTTATCTTGATACGAGTAATCACCAGCACCTGAGCAATTATACTAAAAAAATTATCGCCTCAGGCTCAGTGAACACTGTTGAGTAATCCTCGAGACGATAATTCAACAACATTCACTGAACCTGAGGCGAATAATTGTTAAATATACACCTCTGTAATTTCAAAATCATACGTATTGTGTGGGATTTATCAAGAGGACATGTTGGGCTTGTTACCTGATTATGGCCACTGATGTCTTCACCATTAAAGATATGTTTTATCCACTGGTCACGGAAGCCTGTTACCATAATCTTTTTATCAGGCTCCCAAGGGGAACAGAGATTCTGCAGGCGATCGAGTTGTGCTTGCATAAGGAATTGGGTAATTGGTTTTCATTAGCAGTGGTCAATTATGGAAGTTGTACCTTAAACTCAGCTTACTAGCAAGCACAGACAAGCAAAATCAAATTAACTGACTGCTCATTGACTGATTCGCTCCGTTGCTTGCAACTTGATAATATTCTGGGAGTCGCTGGATATTGGTATTCTGTCCCTTGGTGATATCCACCTGAAAAATCTCACAAAGTACCCTATATGTCACAGAGCGACTTACCATGGTTTCCTTTATTTCCCGAATAGCTTGCTTCTTGCTCTCAGGAGATCCCTTGATATACAAGCTATTCTTCTCGGAGACTTTCAAAGTTGCCTTAGTTTTCGCTTCTATCTTTTTTAAATTCATACCGTTTTTCCCAATTACTTTAGCCATGAAATCTTCTGGTATGAAGGTCAACTCTTCCCAAGACCCTCGGTCAGGGCTGTCTTCTCCCTGGTTGACATGTTTAAAATGCAAAAAAAATATTGAGCTTTAAATGTAGTCACGAGAGTGAGAAAAATTACGGAAAGAAACAGGGAGGCGCGCATGAAAATGAAGGAACGAAATTGACACAAAGGGTGGAAGGAAAGAGGGGAGGAAGGTAGGGAAGGAAGGAAGGCAGAAACAAAGGAAGTAGGAGGGAGAGGAGGCAAGGGAGAGGGTAGAGATAAAGGAGGGTTGGAAGGAAGTAAAGTAAGTGGGAAAGAAGAAAGGAACGAACAATAGAAAGAAGGAAAGAAGAAAAGAAGAGAGGAGGAGGAAAGGAAGGGAGAAAGGAAGGATGCAGGAACAGAAGAATGGAAGCAAATGAGGAAGAATGGAAGGATGGAAGGATTGAAGGACAGAAGAATAGAGAGAAGAAAGGAAGCAAATAAGAAGGAATGGAAGGATGGAAGGATTGAAGGACAGAAGAATAGAGGGAAGAAAGGA